AACTGTATTATAAAATATAAGAAGTTGTTAGTCTAAGAACATATGTCTTAAATGTTAATGTCAATGTCTGGCAGTAGGGATTGTACTTTTCTCAGGGGACGGTGGGACAGGCATGAAAACTCAATAGCTGAAATTTAAATATACTTGTAAGTTATAGCATGTGACACCTGTCAATTATTTTTACTAATAGCTAAGATTATTCTGAATACTGCGGTCACATGGAATTCCTCTAAGAGACAACTTTTGCTCACAGATTTTTTCCATCAGCCACAGATTTTTTCCATCAGCCTGGTGAAGTTTTTTTAGAACAGTGTTGTGTTGGAGACCTCATGGGCCCTTCCTCCTGCTTCTGCAGAGGGGGTCAGAGCAGCCCTGGTGCCTAAGGGTGATTCTCTTCTTCTCTTGCTCACTCTCTTTAATCCTTCAAAGGCAGTTCCCCCAATGGACCTTTTATTTACCCATCTCCTGTTTACCATCTCTTTCTCTGGGAATTTGAAAGAACAGTGTTTACAAATCTAGCCATTACATTAAACTCTATGTATTAGTATTTCATTTAATCTTCATAACCACCCAGTTTTCTCACTTTATAAATAAGGAAAGAGTGGAAAAGTAACTTTCCCAGCATCACACTGATAGTGAGAGAGCTGGGTATTGAACTCTGTCTGACTTAACAGTTGGAGGCCCCAATCTTATTCTAAAGCCATAAGACTTTAGTAAACAATAGCAGCAACAACTAAGCAGATTTCTAACAAAATTTTCTGATGTCTTCATATACATTCACACATTATTACACTCAATCCTAATAGATTCATAGAGTTAAATACCAGTTCGAGGTAAAAGGAATTGGGAAATCAAAGGATTTAAGTAACTGCTTCAAGATCATATATGTAAGTTCCCAAGTATGAACTCACATTCAGGTCTTCTTTGAACTAAGTTTTTTAATTATACCACCCTACCTAATTAATCAAAACAACAATTTTGTCTGAGATAACTATCTTCAATAAAGGATCACCGAAATAATTTAGTTTTTTATATATGTATGTTCGTATATATGTGTGTGTATGTATGAATATATAAACAGACATTATACTCGCGATATAGGTTATTTTCCTTGAGCTGCTGAGCTACTTCACCTTATCTACTTGAATTTTAACAAAGTTTATAGGAAATATGTGGTACACTGTTTCAAAAAATAATCTCCAGTAACATATCAAAAGGTGAGGCTGGAAGATAGTATTTTCTTCCTACTTTCTAAGGATTTTAAACATAATTATACTGACTTTTGCCTTTACCTCCTGCCCAATTGCAGTCTTTGAGTTGATCACTGAAAAACTTTCCTTAACCAGAGTCTTCTGATAAGGTGAGTGAGCAATCTGCTGACGCATCACTTTCAAAGACCAAACCCCTGGCTGTTTCCAGGCCTCAAGTGGAATGCATATGGTTGAGGGAGGGGATCCAGCAAGATGTTGAGCAGCCTGAAATTAAGGCAATAGTAGTCAAACACCGGGGAGGGCTTTGTTTTGTTTTGTTAATCTGCAGGAATGCATTGTGGCTGTTGAGAAAAAAGAGGCAATGCTGGAGGAGCCAGACCCAAGAAGGGGAGGCAGATCCAAGTCTGATGACTTCCTGGGGCTACCTGGAGCTACTCTGGAGAGTACAGAACCCAAGAGACCCTAACCAGTCGAACTTGTGATTTCTGGATTGGGAAACTGAAACTCAGAAAGAAAAAGGCTGTTGCATAGGGTCACAGACATCAGGAAGGAGCAGGAGCCACAGAGGAGAAAGTAAATAATGGGACCTCACAGTTCAAGAGAACCCCCATGATTGCAGCTCAATAGTTGCTGCCAGCGTCCACCCCATTGGAACAACCTGCATGTAGGTGAGTTCCTATGTGAGTTCATGTCTCTTCCAGGTGGTGGGGTGGGGGTAGAAAGTGAACAGAAAGCCCCGTAGAGCTCCCTGCCATCTCTGGGCACTTCTGAGTCACAGTGACAGCCATCAGAACATTGTGTTTGTTCTGAAGGATGGAGAGGGGAACTTGATAGCCAGGAAGGAACCTGGCTGGGCCTGGGAGTCAATAGTCAGATATTGAGTAGGTGCTGATCTGGGACTTGGATAATTTTTCATTTCTTTTACTTTTTTACATATTTATTTATTTCTGTTAAAAGTGAGCATTATTTCCTTAACAAAACAAATGCCAACACTACCCTCCACCCTATTCTGGTAATATACACAAATCATGGCTGACAGCAGCCCCTCCAATAATGATGTTTTATTTGACATCATTTAACTATAAGGCTGAAGAGAAAAAGAACCATGCCCTACCTTACATGGGACAACTTATTCAATTTATACAAGTTTTGCTTAAATTCCAAGGCCATTACACGAGGGCTTACTGTACTGCAAAGTTCTAACATTTACAGCATGACCCCTCTGCTATCCACATTTTGGCATTCTTTATCTTCTGTCTGTTTTATGATGTGCCTTTTATGATGTGTAGAGTGGATATTACATTTCAGGTCAACATATATATCAATAAATAAGCATGGCCTATTTATACGTTCTCTTTTTATTTATTTTTATTGAGGTAATACTGGTTTACAACACTGTGCATGATTCAGGGAATAGGTTGACACCTCCTCAGATTGTGTCAGCATACCATACCCACCACCAAAACACCCAAAGCCCTTTACCATAGACCACTGGGTACCTGCCCCACTTTGTTCTCATCCTCACCCTTCCTCCCCCTCTAGTAGCTTGATTCTGCAATCATATTTCTAGGGTTTATTTTGGTCTCATATTGATGGTTCCTTTGTTTTGTTTCTCTACATTCCACATAGGAGTGAAATCATCCAGTGTATGTTTTTTTTCCTTAGGATTTATTTTACTTAGCATAATACCCTCCCGTTCCATACGGTTGTTGCAAACAGCAAGAATTTTTTTTTGAAAAATCCTGTCATTAAAAAGTAGAAACAAATACTTCTCTATGGATAAATAACTTTTTGAATGAAGAATTAAAATTCTTCATTCAAATGAATTTTTTTATTGAGCCCCTACTATATGCCATCTTGCTGTACTGGATGTTGGGTGTGAGATAGTGAATAAAACAGATATTTTCTTTCTCTCTAAACACACATACACACCCACCCCACACACTGTATGTATATCTGTCCGGGATGGGGGTGTCTGTGTAGAAAGCAGATAGCTGATACTCTGGACTTAAGAGTCACTAATTTAACAATGGTTTTCAGATTGGTTGCATTTGTTTGAATTAAGATGATATAACTGGCCAAGGACCAGTTATTCATATGTCAAAATTACCTTGATGATGTCCTTAAATACCTAATACATGACAACTTTAATCTTAACATGGAATTAATTCCTTAACACATTTCTTCAATCTCTTTTTACTCTAGTTTTGCTATTTATTGAACTTTTGAATGAGACTTTATACAATCTATCCAATTTTAGTTGGGAATGAAAAGATATTGTTACAATTTTTTCTGGGTAGAGCACAGATAAAAAGGAGTCAAAGTTTAGAATCAAATAGACTATCTCAAGTGACAATTGTGCCATTAATTCTATAGTTTGTGAGAACATTTTTGAGTCTCAGACACAATGTCCCAGTAGAAAATGTTTGGACAGTGGGGATAGTGATTTTTCTTATTGAACTGTTGTGTAAAATAAATAAGTGAAATAATGATAGTCAAGTGTCAGACAGACAGTAGCTATTTGTAGTACCAGTGGTTGGCTATATCACTGTGAAAAGAAATAGTGCAAGTCAAAAACAATGAAAAAAAGTCATAGCCTGTCTGAAAACTAGTTATTATACAGAAACAGGTAACCTCCCTTAAATCATTTACAATGTTCTCAATTGATGAGATAAAAAAAATAGATTCAGTAAAAATGGCAAAATTGGAACCAAATGAAGACATTTAAATGTTTGTTGAATTATTAATCAACAAGAAGATTAGAAGATCAATGAGCTGTCTAAATATGGATGCATCCGGGCCTTAAAATGAACATTTTTTTTTTCTTTATGGCAGATTTATCCCTAGAACTTTTTGGAACTGGTTGTCTTGAAAAAAAAAAAAAAATCAAGCAGCTGTCTTTTGTCAGAAAAAAAAAAGGTGTCTATTTAAACATAAAATGGAGAGTGAAAAATTACTTACCTGAAGAAACTGCATTACTCAAGACTGAAGTCACCAAGATTCACTATATCATCTTCAACTGAATGAACAACTTTACTCACATTATCTCTGGTCGAAACCATTTCTTTTTAAAAACTATTCTGGCAACCTCAGAACTCTATCAAAATTTTCCAGAAGCTTTCATTCTGAAGCAATCAGAAGCATTCCTTTCCGAAAGTACACCCACTTCCTAATTCTGGTTTCCAAAAGATAAATGATGTTTCTACACCCCACATACGATATTATAAACTTGTTCACCTCTCTTATTAGCTCACAGCAACCAGAAAACAAAGACCACTTTCACTCAATTCAAATAGCAGCGAGAACTCTGATTTAATTGTAAATCAGGAATATTGTTCTCATCCCACTTTCAATGTTTGTAAAAGGTGACCACTTAAGCAGACCGCCAACCTCCCAGGCACTGCACCAGCCGCCAATGGAAACAGTACTTTAGGAAAAGATGGTAAAGTAGCTATGGGGAATCCTGGGTCACCAACCCCTGCAAACGGGAGAGTTAGTGGACTCCTTAATCACTGGTGGAGAGGCTAGTACTAAACCGAGTAGCGCACGGTGACTTCGGCTGCTCACAGGGACTCTTAGGGACCCGAATTCAAGTTCCAAGTTAAACACAGCTACTGAGAGTGCCAGGCCCTCCTCCTGAAGAACAGAAGATGAAGCGCCGCGGGACTGGAAGAGAACTCCTCATGACATCCAGTCTTGCTCACTTCTGAGTGCACTCAAGATGCTGCACCGAACCCGGCCAGCCGGAAATATTAAGGCCAGCAGATAATCCAGAAAAAAAGCACTCACCAATCTCCCACGACCGGCGCTGCAGGCCTTCCAGCCAGAACCAAGCCCCGCGTCGGCTCAGACCAGCCTGACGACGGATCAAGAGCGTCACTGACAACCACCCGGAAATGGTACAATAGCTTCCGGGGCCGCCGAGCGCGCGGCGGGAAATTATTTCCCAGAGCCCGGATTAGTGAAGCTGCGGGGCTGCAGCGGCGGTCGTCTTGCCTGTCATCACCGCCACCAGAAGGAAGCAGCCAGACACTCCAGCGGGAAGGTAAAGAGCCTCAGCTCGGAAGACACAGTGTACCCCTGGCTCTGTGGGGACGAGTTTCCTCCGTGCCCTGAAGTTTCTGCCGTTCCCGGTTGTGAGACTGGGAAAGGGCTGTGGTGAGCCGCGGCGGTGCCTCTGGCGCTTTTCGCTGCCGCTGGTAGTTCCCACACCCTAGTTCGGGGCTTTCGTGCTGAGGCCGCAGACCCCGCCTTGCTTCCCCCGAGCCTCGACGGTGGCGGCGGCTGAGCGTCTCTCTGCAGTGCAGGCTGAGCCTCTTCCCCGCCTCCTGTTTGCGCAGCTCGGCGACTCGGTCCCCTGCCAGGAAGGGACTAGGCCCCCCGCGTCTCGTTTCCATAGAACCAGCTGGGGCACCTTCTCCTTGAATCCCAGGTTTTTGGCTGATTCCCATAACTTAGCGTCAGTGCAGGTGGCTGGGATTTCCCCAGGCCGTTCCTTTCTCCACAGTAGAATTTTTAAGCATATCCAAGTGGTAACGATCATATCCTTGCGACTTCTGTAGGCCTTTAAATACACAGGCACACCCTACACACCGCCCCTAACACACACACGCACAACAAACACCCTACACACCGCCCCTAAAAGGGAGGGTTTCGTTTTCTGGGAATTATGCTATTTTAGCTGTCTTGAGAGGTAATGCTGATGTTTTCTTCCACTTCCAAGACCAATTAATTAATGATGGACACACACAAAATTGACCTCCTTTGGCTACTTCATACTAGGATTTGAACAGCCTAGAAATTTGACTGCCTGATTTTGAAAGTGCCAAAATGTGGTGGATTTTTTTGGTTGGTTTTTGACGAAGTAGTCTATATTCAAAGACCAAAAATGAATAAATAGGAAATTTTTTCCGGTGAAACACCTAGAATGGAATGTTCAGCAATTTACAGTAGGCGTTATTTGTGACAGACACTGCACCTTGTGAACTTTTTAGATTATTACATTGTGCATGAATTCTTGTAAGTGTTCACTACTGATGTGCAAGATGTTCCCATTTGTCAGTTCCACTAACCTGTATTGCTGGTGTTTGGTCCATAAATTGATAACTTAGAGTGGATTTTTGTAAGGGGGTTAGTTTGAGAAAGTCCAAGTTAACTCAGTATTAATTTAAATGACCTGTGATTTTCAATTATGTGAGTGTGTTAATTTTTATTATAAAGATAATTTAGACTTCAGTAATGCAAGCCCCTTTTAGATGTGTTTTGCAAAATTCAGATTTTCTCTTGTATTATCTATATGATTTCATATATTTTTGTGTATCTAAAGCAGATTTGCATTTTTAAAGCAGAAGGCATAACTCATGTTCATTCTTTGAAAAGATGGTCAAAATGATTCCTTTTTTATAATCAAAATTCAAAACTCTCAAAATTTCATAAGAGCTAGCCACTGTTCCCTTCAGTGTCCAAAATTAATGAATTAAAAAGCCAGTACTATAGCATTATTAAACAGTATATCCTGATTAATTTATTCTAAAATTGTTTTTTCTCTATTTAAATAAAATATTTTTAAATAAAACTGCAATTCCATATTTGCTCTGAATAATAAAATCTTAAGTGTAGAACACTTTTCCTTAAAAATGTATCTTAAATGGAGTATCTTGAAATTTTGTTCTTAAAAATGTACTGTACTCTACTGTTTTCTGTTTCTTACTCTCTAAGACTATGTTATTGCTTAAAATAAAATATTCTTGAAACTGAAGTTCACTTAGTTCTTACATCAATAATTCTTTTAACATAATAATTTACTTTTAATAAAAATGTCCATATGAATTAGTCTAGTAATCAGTATCAGTTCATTTTCAGAGGAAACTGGAAACTAATGAAAGAAAAATGACACTATAGATTGTTTCTAGAAATGTTTTGAATTGTGGACATTAGTTTCTAGTTATGTTCATTTTCAGTGATATTTGACTCTCCACTCTCAAAAGTAGATTCCGTATCATGCAATGTAATTTTCTCTTTATACTAGTTGTAAATAGATTTCTTTGTAAAATTGCAATATGTTTAAAGGTATTAGACTCGATTCTGAAATGTAAGTCAAAATGTAGAAAAGATGGGTAGTTTTTGTAGAAATAGATTTAAATCTTTGAATCTTGAGTTCACATTTACTAGTTGGTATATACATGATTAGTTTCTTAATCTCTCAGATTCCCTAGTATCCTCATCTGTACATGAAGAGTAACAACACTTACATTGTCTAAGTAAACTAACTTACATGTTCCTATAAAATTCTTAATGCTCCTACTAAATAAGTCATAAAAATTCTGAGATGACTACAGCAGATTTGACTTCATCCCCCATGGTTTAATAAACATCTTCTGTCCATCCATTCTCATTTCCCTGAACATCCCCTCCATTTGTCCTTGCCTAAGGACCCCTTCATTTTACAGCTTCTTTATCCAGTCCATCATTGCTTGTACAATACTGGATACTTTAGAAATCTCCAAAATTCTTTTAATCTCTCATTTCTTCCTCATCAAAGACACTCTACTGCTATTTTTGCAATTGCTCGCTCTACTCCTAAATTTATCACCAAAGAGACTGATTATGATTATTCCTTTCCTATTTTGTCATTAAAAATCTCATTACTGGATACAGACAGCAAGAACTAATTTACACTCACACACACTTGAAGGATAAGCAGAAACCAATTTTTTTTTTTTTAAATTGCTGAGGGCAGGCTTGTATTGGCTCCTAGTCACCAGGATACAGAATTACTAAATAGTGCCTCATTTAAGACCTTTGTTTTCTTAATAAACATTGTGTCTTCTCATTGATCTGTCCAGTTATGTAAGTGATGTTGCTGTCAACATCTGTTGTTAGATTTGTTTATAATTGTTCTCTGTATGTTGCTGCTCCTTTGGTAAATATATATTGATGAGTGTGACAAACAATCCCTTGATCACTTATATAATGTCCATCTTTGTCCCTTGTCACCTTTTTTTTAAGCTGGAAGTTTGTTTTACCTAGTAGTTTACCTATTTTACCTCGTATTTTATTGGATACCACAGGATTTTTTTTTTCCAGCCTTTTCTTTTGAGCCTTGTCTTTGGATCTCAGATAGATTTGGGATCCAAAATTCAGAAAGGTGGGTTTTGATTTCTAATCCAACCAGTCACTTTGACTTTTGCATTTAGACCACTGACAGGGTAATTATTGATATATAAGTATTTATTGTGACTTTGTTACTTGTTTTCTGGGTCTTTTTGCTGTTTGTCTCTGTTCTTCTCTAGTTATCTTCCCTTGTATTTTGAAGGCTGGCTTTTATCTAGTGTTTGGATTTTACTTTATCTTGTTTCTCCTAGGTATTTTTGTTCTGAGGCTACCATGTGGTTTATATACTGGGTTCCGTATTTCTAATTTATCTTATATTGAAAGCAAGTTAATTTGAAGCTCCTTATCCCAATTGCCATTTTTATTCGTCTCTGCCTTCCCCTCCCCCCCCCCCCGTTTTTGATCCCATTCCCCACTCCCCCATTTTCTGTTTTCGGAGTGTTATTGCTTATATATGGGATTTTCTTTCATAATAAACCCTTTAAATTTTTTGCAAGTATAGTTTAAAAGAGGTGAATACCTTCTAAGTTCCTCTGCTTCCTCATTTTGTTTGATAATCTGTTGTAGTTTCTGTGGATTAATCTAGGCTGCTTTCCTTCTCAGTCCTGCTGTAACTCTCTTGCTTTAGAATTAGAGGCTATAGTTGGTCTTGGATATGATCCATTTCTGTTGTTGTAATGGTTCACACCTCATTGAGAATCAGGAGGACTAGAGTTCAAGAGCTGGTGCATAGTGGTGACCCAAGAACGCAGCCAACAAAGTGTGAGTGGGTTGTGCGGGGTATAGAGGTGCTTGCAATAAATTGCCAAGACAAAAAGTCTTCCTCAGTACTTCAACTGCTTGAGATGAAGGATGGTTTTGCGGTCACTGCCTGGTCTATCTAGGTCAGTCATGGCAGACCAGCAGAAGTGTTTCTCCCAGGTACCTCAAGCCTACTTCACCCTTTTATTGCTAGTTAGCTCTGATTGCCACAGCTTTTTCCAGCAGTCTTTTCCTTGAGCCATTTTGCAGAATGAGTAGGGTTTATGGGCTTGGGCCACAGTTAAGTGTTGCAAGAAGTTTCAGATTTGTAGTAATTATGCTATTCAAAGGCTAACTAAATCCAAACAGGACTATTGATTGTTGGGGCCATTAGGTTGACAGCCAGTAACCCAGATGCCATCAGCTCAGCATCATTGTAGCAGTCAGAGTGCCTAATGGTATGAGGCCGGTGCCCAATGTGGTGTACTAGGAGCTCAGGGAAATGGGGGATTCTGGAAAGCAGTGGAGAGATGACTTTTCAAGACCACCAGATTAATAGCCAGCAGTACCTAGCGTATCAACTCCAGGTCTGCTCAACATTTGGCATCCTTCTAGTGAAGCAGGGAGGCATTACTTTCTGATCTGCTTTAGGTTGAGAAACCTGAGGGGAAAGCTTTAAGCTGAGGGGAAAACCTGAGACCCTGTGGAGGGTGAGCTGTTGTCTTTTGAACTGCCAGGCAAGTTACCAGCAGTCTTAGGTATGAGATGTGTTGCTAAACTTCTTCCAGGCACTGTTTGCTACTCTTTGGTGTGTGAGGAGCCCAGGAGAGTTTAGTAGTGAAAGGTCATGTGCTTTGAGGTCCCTAGCTATCATCTAGCAGCCCCAGATAAGTCAAGGAGCAGCCAGTTTTTCTCATAGTGAGCAGAGCCCAGCTGTAGGAGGCCAGGAGCTGAAGGTAATAAACAGGGCAGTTTTGGCAGCTGGGGGTAATTTGCAGAATTGGCCACTGGAACTTGCTTCCTTGCATTGCCTCAAGGTGGGAGGAAGGACTTCCCTCTACTACTCCAAGCAGTGAAAATTCCCATGGGTTCAGGATCTGACTGTCACCTGCAGCATGGGGCTGTGCCTCTATGTAATAGTTCTAGAGACCTGTAGCCTCTAAATCCAGAACCTCCACTGCCAATTATTCC